GGTTGGTGAGAGCTGGCTCAGCGGCCGGGGTAACGGGTGAGAAGCGCCGCTGGGCAGGTCAATATAACACATCTACAGCGGGCAGCGTGTCCCCATGTCTCTGGTCAAGAGCTCGCCCTGGGGCTCAAAGCTCAAAGGCTCAGGAGCTGATGAGCTCCGGGGGAACTGGCAGCCGCAGAGCAGGAAACACTGTGGTGGAGACTGACACCAAATCTGGCCCTCAGGTGGCCAGCAGAGTGCACAGAGTGTGGCTTTTCTGCACCTGAAAGGAGGCTATAGTGAGCTGGGGGTCGGGCTCCCAGTTATCCAGTGACAGGACGAGAAGAAGCAGCCTCAAGCTGCACAAGGGGAGGTTTAGGCTGGATATTGGGGACCATTTCTTCACAGAGAGGGTGCTCAGGCACTGGGACACCATCCCTGGAGGTGTTTAGAAGACGTGTAGCTGTGGCACTTAGGGACATGGTTTAGCAGGTAACTTTGCAGTGCTGGGTTAACGGTGTGGTGGGCTTGGCGGTGCTGGGTAACAGATGGACTTGATGATCTTAAAGGTCTTTTCCAACCTAAGAGATTCTGTCATTCTCAAAGAGGAGCAAAAGCAAAAGGAACCTTTTTTATCCCAGTGGATGAAACTTAAGATGACTGATACTTGCCAGTGTAGTTGGAAAGAAAAATCCCACTTTTTTAATAACTTGTTGCTGTACGGGTATTTCTCCAGCATGTGATGTGATAGGGGAGGAAATAAAAAGTAAAAGACTTCATTCTGTTAATTGTGTTTATTGGACTGGATCACAGAATGTAGTTTTTGAAGTTACTGGACGTCACCTTAAACTCACTTGTGATATGCTCAAGGAGAGGGAATGGAAGAGACAACTAAAACTTGTCAGACACCATATTGCATCTGAAGTGTTTTATCAAGAAGTCCTTTAATATTGTATCCTTTCTCTTTTTTAATCATAATGATGTAATATGATTCTATGTCTTCTAAAGATTGGTATACCTTCTCAAAACAACAGTCTGTGCTTCCTGTGTGGGTAACTGGCAGTTCCACAGGCTGTGCCTTGCATTTTCAGAAGTGGAGTAAGGCTTGGGAAAGGGAGGCTTATATAGAATTAAGTTCCATACAAAACCCAAGCATTTTCTTGTTACAAATAGGAGGATAACAAAATAAAGTGCAAGGGAAGTATTTATCAAAGTCTTAGTGAAGACTATGTCTTGTGTTATAATGAATCAGCAAAGATAACAGTTATTCTTTGTCCCACCCAGAGGCTTTGGATAGGGTTACTGTACATCTCCATGCAAGTCATGGATCTTCTTTAACTCTGAGCAAAAATGGTCCTGAGTGTCCCTAAAATTGCACTATTTTCTGTTTTTAGGCATCACAGGGCCTGGCAGCAGCACTTGGCAATTGTGCAGGTTTTGTGCATGCACTTCGGGGTCAAATTAAATGGTTTGCATTATTTAAAACTGATTGTTCACAACCCTGTTTCTAAATTAAATATAAAGCTTTAAATATACCAATTTGAGCAAAAGATCTATTAAATCTCACTAATTTGTTCTAATTTGTTGTTTTGTTTCCTTTTTTTTCCTCATCAGTTCACAAAGCCCAGTGAGAGCATGGATTATCCTGACATGGCTAAGGAGGCAGGTAATTTAATCATACAGCATTTAGTTTGATTGCTGACACATTTTAAGTCTTACAGTTAATATATTTGTTATACATACAAGTGAATATTACTGTTTCATAAACAGATATATATTAAAAGCAAATCTAAAACTGATAAAAAAGAGCTCTCTCACAAAATCCATGACTGACCTGTTCAACGCACTGCCTTCCAGTGCTGAAGTCAGAAAGTTAGCTCCAAACTGACTGGGACACTTAAATAATTTCATACCTACCTATATTATTCAAATGTACTTTCACTGGGACAAACAATGTGCATGAACATAGATGCATGAAATTCCTTTACCAAAGGAGCTTGTTTGTAACTCCAAACACTGCAAAACTGTCTTTATGGGAATTAAGATGCAAGATGGTATAAACCATTTGCATCACATATTAAGGCATTTTTACAGCTATCTCTTTTTCTTGTTTGTGAACACATGAACAGTACATGGTACTATTCATGGTACTATTCAAGTACTCCATGTTTGCTTGTTTCAGTTGTGAGAGGTGGGTTTGGTGGGGTTTTTTCTTCAACTTTTTGACTTTTTTTTCCAACTCTTTAATTTTTTTTAGGACAAAAGGCTTTAGCTGATGCTGGGATTCATTACTCCACCGTGCAGCAGGCATGTGTGGGTTATGTTTATGGTAAGTAATGTCATTTGATTGAGATGTGACATTCGCAGACATCTGTGTAGGTAAAGCTTGTCCACATCTGTGCAGATAAAGTATGGGGGATCCCATCAATTTCAGGTTATGATATTGTGTAGAACTGTCTCAAACTTAAAAAAAGAAATCTATTATTTTTAGTGGTCACAGATCTATGTTTATTTGTGGAGTTTACAGTTCTAGTCATGGGTATGGAAAGACTTCTGTAAGTTGTGTCTTGCAGATGTGTTTTATATAAGTAGCTCTTTCAGCAAGATCAGGTTGTATATTTATTCAAGTGGTGCAAAACTTACGTATGATGATGTTTATGGCAGTAGACTTGAAAATCCTTTCATTCTTTGTGTGATGCTGTGTGTACGCTGGAGTGGCTTTTGAGTTGAAGACACTTGCTAGGGGTATTTTGGGAATCAAACATGTACTGCATCCTTGCAATTTCAGCCCAAGAATACAAGAGAGATGTGCTTGGATTCTACCCTAAGTGATAGATGAGATATAGTCTGTGAGAGGTTCATAACTTTTTTAATCCTATGGTTTATCTATAGAAAGATAACCATGGTTTAATGTACTGTATAAGATTATTGAGTACCTGCATTAGTGTGGCTCCAGAACAACGCTTTGCAGTTGAAGCAGCCATTAACCAGCACAACCCTCAAAACAGTTTTCTAGTAGACACCCTTAGCAGAAGCTTTTAACTTGCAGTTACTGCTTACTGTAGTGAGAGGAGATGGTGTTAAGTGACTGGTTTGAATCTTTCCCTGCCACTGCAGTTCACAGATGCCTAGTGTATTTCTCAAAGCACTCAGAGTCAGATTTCTGTTATGGGAAATCTGTCTCCATTCCAGAGAGAGTTTTCTGTTTACTTTCTTCCTATTTCTCTATTAATGACTGTACTTTGGCAACTGAAGGAGGGTCAATCAGCTGTGATATCTCTAGTAGCTTCCAAACCACACCTCTGAGATGTTTCTGTCCAGTCCAGTTACCTTCCATTGATCACAGTTAGCCAGACTAGCTTCTGGTTTTAAGATCTGATGATTTTCATCTTGTTTCTAAGGTTCTTGTACTGTGGATACTTGAGAGACATACTCAAGATGACAGTTCAAAAGTTCAAGTTTACAGTTGAAGTATTAACATTGCACATACATGGTTGGATTTTGCTTTGCTAGTCGTGTTTGAGCATGTGCCTTACTTTAACATTGTGTCCATGCATAAAGGTGACTCGACCTGTGGACAACGGGCTATCTATCATGGTTTGGGTTTGACTGGCATTCCTATCATTAATGTTAACAACAACTGTGCTACTGGATCAACTGCTTTGTTCATGGCCAGACAACTGGTAGAAGGAGGTGAGTTGTTTTGCTCTGGGGCTGAGTAATACATATTCCTTATTTCTATAAATATAACTTGAATGAAGAACGGAACTAGTGAGTGCGTAAGTACTCTGAGTTGTAAATGTACTATCCTCATAGGCAAAATGGTGTTGTCTGCTTCACTCAGCTGAAAAGGTTGATCACATATATGCAATTATAAGAGCAAGCACTTAAAAAGAGTAACACTGTCACTAGAACATCATGTGTGCATCTAAAAGACTATGTCAGTGATGCAGTAAGATGGTGTCTATGCATAGATATGTTCTTTCCTGTGTCAGAAGCTGTATGAACCTAGTAAGTAGGAAGCCAGGTAAGTTTTTCCTGGAAGAATTGTCTGGAGTAGTGCAGAACAAGTTGCATTATAGAAACTAGACTCTGCAGGATGAAAAGGAGAGAAGACTTCTAAACAGATTAGCTTTTTTCTTCTTTTTTTAACTTGAGGTTAACACTAGTATTTGACCAATGCGTTTTTCATAAGGGAAGGGAAGAGAGCAATGCCTTGTGACAGACTATGCTTTGAAGTGACAGATGAGTCTTTCCTTCTGTTTCTGCAGGTGCTTTGTGGAGTATGATTCTTTCTTGCACTTAGGTGCTGATGTTTCTATAATGAAAACTATAGTAACAGTCTGTATTTGTAGCAGAGACGTAAGTGCTCAGTCATCTAAGACATTTGTTGTCAAACAGGTTGAAAATAAACCCAATCCCTGTAGTAATCTCTCATTTTTCAGTATAAATATGTTTGTATCAATACAATTCCCACCCCAGTTTTACTCTCCTTCGAAAATGAAGAAAAGGAGGAAGAGCAGGTGGTAGGTATTTATGCATATCTCTTGTTACTCAATAGTTGTTAGTACATAATGTCATTTAGAATTACACTGTGCTTTAAATAGCCACAATTTTTATTTTAAGGTTTGGCAGACTGTGTTCTGGCCCTTGGCTTTGAGAGGATGGCAAAAGGATCCCTTGCCTCAGGTGTAAGTGTCTGAAACACTATACATACATTTCATTTGTATTCATAGCTTAAATACACCTCCTCATTCTCTGAGACATATTCTAATAAATACCAGTTGCTTTAAGATGTTGCTGGAGATGATTACAAAATAAGCCATTATTTCGAGCCACACAAACTTTTAATGAGTTCTATGAGTCCAGTTGCACTTGTGATATACAAGTTTTGTATGGAGTGGTTTAGAACTGATGTTTTTGGTAGCCTGTCATGCTTTTTATATTTTGCCAATACGTTAAAGGCAGGTTAAACAACGAATAATGAAGACACCAGATAGAATACTTGAAGCACTGAGCAATTGAAGGGTCTTTATCAAAATGACACAGCAAATCAAAGAATCTGGGTCTTCTGGCTTTTGGCTCAATCAAGCACTTTCTCAAAAACTCAGGGCTTCTGTAAACTTTTCCTGCCTGTTCTGTGTTTTTACTGCAGAAGCATGTGTGTGGGTTGTTTGTATTCTGCCTTATGGCAAGCAATATTAGAGCCCATATGTCATTTAACTACATAACTACCAAATTTCATTATACGTGCAGAGGTTTGAGTGAGAAATGTTAAATATAACAACCGATTCGGAATGAGAAAGAGTTATATTTAACATGCTTTATGATATTTCATCTAAGCTTCATTAAAATACTAATACAGTGTTGATTTTGTAACTTGGAACTCTATTAACTGTAGGGTATTAAGCTGAGGTGAAAAATGCCTGAAGTCCTCTACTGAAAATAGTGGCTGTGATAGAAGTCATATAGGAGTGGTCTTTGCCATGAATCAGTGCAGTGATTATACAGTTACGCATTTTCTGCTTATTCACTCTTTCTCATAGCTGGGAAATTGTGAATGCTTCAAAACATGTCACTGAAGTGCAACATGTCCAGTGGAGTTGTTAAAATATCAAACCCCTCTGTTTTGCTTGAAATGCATGGCACTTTTGTGGTGATCTTGTAAAGAAAAGGAAATGATGACTTACTTTATAACTCTTTCTCTTCTTTTTAGTTTTCAGACAGAACTAATCCAATTGACAAACATTTGGAAATCATGATAAATAAATATGGCTTAGCAAGTGCTCCAGTAGCACCTCAGATGTTTGGAAATGCTGGCAAAGAACATATGGAGAAATATGGTATGTTAAAAGACATAACTGATTTCATCGTCCTCTTTTCATGAAGTGACTTAAAATATATATTAGGATTTTGGTTTTTAAAACTGATGGTATTCAGTGTCCTTTCTTTTACCCAAGTACTGCAACTGCAGCATCCACAGCTAACACATAAAGGAATACATTTGGATAAAGAGTTACCAACAAAAAAGTTGGTGATGCGTAGGCAAGCAATACCATCCAGAGACAAAATAAGGCTGTGATACAGCGTGTATGGTAATCATGCTAATGATATGGTTTGTGCTTTTGTAAGGTCTGGGCAATAAGATTGTGTAACTTCCTGCATTGTTCCTGTGTGTCTTAGGATGGGTAGATAGGGCTGAGACAGAACTATCTGACAAAAGCTTTTGGGTATTTGTTTCAATTTATATGGTACTGGGCTGCTGCCACTGCCATTTCTTACCCCCTCAGCAGATAAGGGAATTGGCTCCAAGATAATAGGCTGGTCAGTTGAGCATCTTTTATTTGCACTTAGTTATAGACTAGTATATGGGAAAATTTTAGACAGATTCCCATATTTCACTGCAGCTGTTTTGCACTGATAGGAAAATAAGCATTCAAGTTTCAGTAATATAATAATATCTCAAATAAAATGCACATATTTCCTGTAATTTTATGTCAGTAAGCGCTAAATATCCAAATAGGATGTCTGTTACCTAAAACTCAGTTCTTTTTAGTAACCTTTATCTAATTTTTAGACCTGAGTTGAGTTCTAAGGAAAGCCTTGATGACAGTGAGTCTCTTGTAAAGATGCTTGTAAAGGTCAAATCAATATTTAAAATGCTATGTTAGCACTGCTTGGGTAAACAAAGCATTTCAACACAGCTTTCTTTTCCCTTCCAGGGACAAATCCAGAATACTTTGCAAAAATTGCATGGAAGAATCATAGTCATTCAACTAACAACCCGTGAGTTGTGTACTCTACCTCTACACTGAATATATGTTGCTCTTAATGCAAACCTGAGTATTATTTTTAGAGTATATTATTTCTTAAGGCATGAGAATTATACCCAGCATAAACTCTGTATCTAGTGCCTTATATTTTGTAAAATCAGCCCTGTAGCTGCCTAGTAAGTGTGATATTAGTATGTCTGCTGCTAAAGCTGTGCTAAAAGATGGTGCCTGTATGTTTTCCCTAGGTATTCCCAGTTCCAACAGGAGTACACGTTAAATGAAGTTCTGCACTCTCGCAAGATTTTTGATTTCTTGACTGTCTTGCAGTGTTGGTAAGGAGAGGACTTAGCATTGTGAAATAGAACTTGATGTTAAGCCAAATGTGGTAGGACATCTAGTTAAATAGAAGTCTGTTTGCATGTAAATTAAAAATTGACAGATTATTTTAAATAAACATTATAAATAAAACAAATGTGGAATCTCTGAGTTGACCAAACACTACCTAGGTGCTTGTTTACAGTATAATACAGTAAGCTGAAATATATTTAGTACTTTGGGGCTCTCCTGTCATTGATAGCATCATAGAATGGTTTGGGTTGGAAAGGACCTTAAGATCATCCAGTTCCAACCCCCTGCCATGAGCAGGGACACCTCACACTAGACCATGTCACCCAAGGCTCTGTCCAGCCTGGCCTTGAACGCTTGATTCTGTATCTTTTATCAATGAGCTTCCACTGCTGTTAAGTGTTAATTCTTCTCTTCAGCCTTTCCTATACCCTCCTGAGAGGCTTGTTGTTAACAATGTCTATAGCAAGGCAGAAGCTTTGGTATTCTTTCTAAGTTGAAAAAACTTAATGATTTGTTTCTATTTCAATGTCATGCTTTTCAAATGTCTGTTAAAACTATTGCTTAAAGTGTCCAGCAAACACTGATGGAATTTATCGTTTCAGTGGTGTCAGCCAAAGTGTCTTTTTCTTTGTCCTTTTTGGGTTGTTTTGGTTTATATTAACAGATAATTCTGTGGAAGATTGACATTACTAATACAGAATGCTGACATCACTATTTTTCTTTCAATCAGTCCAACGTCAAATGGTGCTGCAGCTGCAGTTTTGGCTAGTGAAGAGTTTGTGAAAAGACATAAATTGCAGCCACAAGCTGTGGAAATTCTAGCCCAGGTGATGGCTACTGATTATCCAAGCACGTTTGAAGAAAACAGTTGTATGAAGATGGTAGGTTTACAGTTCTGCCTTCCCTGGTACTCCTAAATAGATTGGGGGTTTTTTAACACCTGCAAGTCTTAATGATACTGTAGACATTTCCATGCCAGTTAGCAAAGTCAGTGTACTTTGTGGTAAATGTAAAAGTAGTTTCATTTGGGCAGGTGGAAGAAGCAAAGAGTATGGTCGTGGAATAACAATAAGGCTACCAACCCCCTCATTTTTAGTCAGTTATTTAAAGGCTACTCTTAAACAATTGAAAAGCAAGAAGAACATTTCTTTATTTAAAACAATTTTACTTATGTCTGTGTAATGTTGAGGCTGAAATAACCTGTTGGGTATAGTCATTACTTGGTTAAGTAGAATGAAGGGAAAGACTTGAACTGCAAAATCTGGATCCCACTGCAAACTGACTAAAATAATTGGATGTAAGTCGAACCATTAGAACACCCAATAGTTTCTACTTCAGTCATGGTCTGTTTGGGTTCAAATACAATTCTAGTCAGACGGCTGATAGAAAAAGGCAGCAAGACAGTTTGAGGATTTGTTTCAAGGCTGTTTGCCTGAGTCAGACAAAGGAGCAATTTGGCTTGTGAGCAAGGTTGAGAAAATAGAGGATATTCCCCAGAAGAGTTAGATAGAATGTGTTATTTCTTCTATGCAATTCATACGGTGTGAACATTAAACTGTGATATAGGATGCAGGAAATTAATTAGAATACCACCTCCTACAGGTTACCCTCGATTTCGGGGGAGATAGAAACACGTTTAAAATTAAGTGTAGAAATTAAATTGCTTTTAATTTCAATGTGTCTTTAATGATATTTTAAGGTACAATTTCTTCTTGCTGCAGGTTGGCTATGATATGACTAAAAAGGCTGCTGAAAAATGCTTTGAAAAAGCAGGCCTAAAGCCTACAGATGTTGATGTGATCGAACTTCATGACTGTTTCTCTGTTAATGAGTTCATCACCTACGAAGCTCTGGGACTCTGTCCAGAAGGTAATAGCATCAATGGATACCATTGTTTTAGTAAAATGGAAATCATTAAACAAACCTTTTTATCTGTTCACATAATTAGAACATGGAACTTTCTTCTGGACAGTCTATATTTGAAAGTCTTATTGGCTAACTTAGAGTTATCACTTTGGTAACATAAGGAAGACTTTGGTAACATAAGGAAGACCTGCAAACTGCAAACAGATGAGAGTGTTACTGTGGTTTCTGAAGAAATATACAAAGCAAATTAAAATGTTAGGCAACTATGTGAAATCTTATGGCTAGCTTGTGCAGGGATGGCTCCTTTAAGCAAGCAGAGCAGGGCAATTGAGGACTCTTGTGATCTTTCTCAATATTATGCCCCCTATTTTGTGTTGCTCCCATCTTCGTATTTCCTTTCCAGAAGATAAAAATGAGACAAGAACTGCCTGTAGAGGGCATGTTACTTATCTGCAATATGACTTTTTTTAAAATCTTGAAACATATTTGCTGTTGAAAATAAAGAGTTGTTGGCAAGTTGTGAACATGCCTCTAAAGTCAACAGGATAACAATGCTCCATCTGTCCAGATTAGTTTAATTCATTGGGGTGGATTTACAACACATTAGATGGCAGTGGAGTTCAGTTCTATGTATGCAAGTCCAACCATTAAAATTTTCCACTGAAGAGGTTTTTTTTATTTCAAATAAATAGTGCATCAAACTGCTACTTTAGTATTTGATGTGTTTAAATGTGTTCTTGCTTTGCATAAATAACCATCCGATACAGTCTTTGTTTTCAATTGTGAGACAATACCATACTGTGTCACTAGATGGTGTATTGCATTATGTCTAAACTTCTCACTGAAAGAAGTTTGTGGAACTTCAGGAAGACTTCATGTGTTTGTAGGTCTTCCAGTATTTGCCATTGCCTGCTTTTTACAGTCATCCTTCCTGCAGTTTTTATGGTATCTACAGTAAAACCAACAAATGTTTGATGCTATTTAAATCAGAACATTAAGGTTTTTAGATTCATTCTTTTAATTGAAGATACAGAACAATTCTGATGGTACTTGTTTGTACAGTAAGTCTTGTGTATAGTAATTTAATAGTGCAATTCGCACCACCTTTCCATCAGTCTGACCTTAAACGTATGTGAAACTTATCTTGGAATGGTAGGCTCATTAGACATTAGTCTAATTAGAGATTAGTGAAATGATTTAAACTACATTGTGGATTTAGATGTGCAAGACTGAGCCAGTATCCACACCTTTGGTAAGTGACAACAGAATTGAAAAATCTCTTAAAAGCAAAGAGGAACATTTTCCTTTTATAATTACTGTTTTATAGGAAAAGCGTGTGACCTGATTGACAGAGGAGATAATACTTATGGAGGAAAATGGGTTATCAATCCTAGCGGTGGCTTGATTTCCAAGGGACATCCACTTGGTGCTACAGGTATGCAAACCCGTGTCATTTATTCACACCAGTTAGATATGAGATGCAACTCTTGTGCCAGCAGATACTTCGCATTTGCTTTTGTCTGTATGAAACATGAGGGCTTATTTGTCTGTATGAACCACGAGGGCTTCATGAGACTAGAAGGAAGCTCTGGACTGGATTCTCATTTCCAACTAAGGCAGGCTGACCATGTAGGATTGCTCAAGCCAAAAGACTTGGAGTGTGATTTTTGATCATGGGTGCTTTCCCCCCCCTGTTATTAAAGCAACCTGCAAAACAGCTTAAGTTTTTGCTAAATAATTGCTCAATAGTAGAACTTCTGCTGAATGTAGTTTGAATAACTGTTTTCCTGGTTTCATCCTTTAAATTCAGATTTGGGAGATTTTTACTGCAGCTGAATAGCCTGTACCCTTGTTAGCTGTGATAAAAGCTATTCCTGTATTACTTGGATGGCAAAATACATACGTGATGTTTGCAAGAGAAGCTATCATCATTTCCCAGCAACATGGGCTTTCCTTTTTCCTTTTGTTTTTTTGTTTTCTTTAAACTGCTGCACTTGCTTCCAAATGAGGTGACTCTTAGATACAATATCCGTTTGGATTTGTGAAGATGATTCACCTTCCTTGTTTGGAAATGAGAAGCTGTTAGAAAACTGGAGAAGAGGAAACCTTGTAAAAGAACAAACCTTCATCTTAGCAGCTGGATAACCTGCAGTTGATGGGTGGGGAGAGTATTGGGCAGCTTTGGAAGAAGGACATTCTGGGTAAATGAGTCTGCGGGTATCTGTAATAGGATGGGAGCTTTGCATTGCTAGGTTTGTGTTCAGTTTTTGTCAGTTAATTGTGAGGCATTTATGGTGTTCATGTTTCTATTGCCATGGGATAGGGGTAAGAGTTGTTAAAATGCAGAAAATGACCATGTCTACAGGCTGTCAGCTTAATTTCGCTGTACAACAGTCTGGAGCCAGCTGTGTGCCAATCAGAGATCATACAAGTTGTCTTAAGTTTCCAAATCACTCCAGGGCAGGTTGTACCACTGTACACATTCTCTCCTTGAGGCTGAGAGAAGGTAAATGAAACCTCTTAATTCCCACCTGTGACTGGAATGACAAAACCTCTTACTTGCCCTCTTCCAGTGTTTCAGTTGGCAGTGTGTACAGCTCCATGTGTAAAATGCAAGATTCCTACACACCTTTCTTGAAGGCCTACACAGGTGTCTGGGAGAAAGGAGAGGAAGGGATGGAGGGATGAAGAAACGTGTGGTGGAATGGGATCACCGCTGCAGAACTAGCTCATAGAGAGTAAGGGGAGATGGAGGGTAAATGCCAGCTGGAGGTCGGGGCTGTAGTAAAAAGGGATTCACATTCATTTGGGGCCTCCCAAGAAAAGATATTCCTATGTACCTAAATTAACGATCTCAAATCCTATCGCGTGTAGCCCCTGAATGTCATTCCAGGGCGGGAAGTTTATGGAACAGACCCATAGCGTGTTCCTTCTTTCGCTCTGTGCTCGATTCCTCAGGCCTGGCGCAGTGCGCCGAACTCTGCTGGCAGCTGCGCGGCCTGGCCGGGCGGCGGCAGGTCCCCGGGGCAAAGGTGGCGCTGCAGCAC